TGCTTTCTAGCAGTTTTTAGAGCAGCCAATTTTTACCACTAAGAGAGTTTTGCAGAAATCGAAAGAAATAGTAGTTAGATAGTGCACAATCTGGACTACGTGAGACCGATTCAAATAGTAATTAGATGGTGTAAGGTGCAGGTGCATCAAAATGGTGCATTAAAATTTCCAAGCCAAGTTCCGTAAATTTGTCTCGAGTCAATAAAGATGTGTGTGGCCTAGCATTGTTATGATTAAACACATGTCCTTCTGTTGACTAATTCTGACTGCATTTACTTGATTGTTCCGTTGAGAGAATCGAATCATTACACCAAGTTGGACCATCTTTTAATAGAGAATTCCTTTCCAATCCCACCAAATATTAACCATAATCTTGTTAGCCATCAATCCAGGGTTTGAAGTCATCGGATGGTCACCTGCTTTTACCTATGATCGCTTACTTTGGATATTCTCGTATTTAATCCATTTTCTCATGGCTCGCTTAAAAAATGGTTTCATTCTTTACATTAATATATATGGTATCTATACATCGAGTGTGTTTGCGTAGCGGGGTCTTTCATTTCAAATAGTCATGTGCTTGATGTTTAGTGCCTATCTTATGGTAGTTAGTAGTTGATCTACCAGTTGCAGAATTTCAAAAATATTTTATAATTCTAAATATATATTTTATAATTTAATTAATTTTTGAACAACAAAAGTTTTTGAGTCTTTTTTTTTTTAATATGAATACATTTAGATTAGTAATTTTACAATAATTCAACCAATTGAAAGAGCTATTATACAAAATCCTTCCGTCAAGGAAGAATACATTTGTATATACTATATGTCTATACACATGTATAAAAATATTGCTGTTTTAAAAGAAAGCCATAAGGATATATATGTATACATTTTTCAGATTGTTCATATGTATGTTAAAAGAATTTATAAAAATTAATAAAAAAATAATGCCTAGGATTTTTATTCTCATTTCAATATATCTAAAAGGAATACTGAAATAAAAGTGGTTCTTGTTAATAAGAGAAAATGATATATTTCTATTAAAAACCAAAGTAAAACCTTTCAAAGTGGATGTCGTCACGCACAAAACCCATAATTTTTACATAAATTAAATGTTATAAAACATTATATAGTAAGTATTATTCGCATATATGTATTGTATATAAATATAAAGTGAATGGCCTAATGCACTTGATGTATACAAAATAAAAATAATTTCTATTTTGGTCGCTATTTGCGTTTTTAATAAACCTCATTTTTTAAGCATTTATGCGATTTACTTTGCGATTTTGTAAATTAAACTGCGAAGCAAAATAACATTTTACCAAATACAAATAAGTTTTTCGTTCTTTATGTACAAAATTTCGTCTTAATATTTATATAGAAGAAACTGTGTTACTTTTCATTTATTATTTGGCTCTAGTGCAACACACCAAACATCTTCGAATCAAAAAAACTTTTATCTGAACTACCCCCTACTTCGGAAAAATCTTTGCTATTTGTCGCTGTTGCGATACGGGATCTATTTTTGGACTGCATCTGTCACCCATCGCTAAAGGCGACACATATGTGCGCCATAAATTTACCTTTTGGGCGCATACAACCACGAAATGCATCCAAAGTCATCGAATCAAAAGAAAAATATTTTTCCGCTATCCCTTACAGACTTACAGACCATCGTGGATTAAAAACCATCAATTTGAATTTTAATTTGAAACATGTTTTCATCTTAAATCGATTTTAACAGTCGCCTATAATTAAATATTTGTTAGAATTTAGATACATATATAAAATATTTCCTTATTTAGATTACATCAGAAACTCTTCTTCAACTAACATAACGTTAATAAAAATAAAATATCAATGTATATTTTTGTTAATTTTAGAAGTTAAACAATCGAAGCTCATGAGGCAATAATAATGCAATAGACCATAAACAAATATATGCCCAACCTTAGTACAAAAAAAAAAAAATAGGTTAACTTATTTATATGAGAATACGATATAAATGATACAATTATATTTATATTTAAATATTTGTTTAAATCTGTTTTAGGGATTCAATACGAAACTTCAAATATCAATATCAGCCATTATTTATTTGAATTACTCGCACTACGTATAAGATACTTTTATTGAATTATTGTTCTTATCTTCAATTGATTTATCACTTTTAATAAATGTTTTATGAACTTTTAACTGAATTCAGAATATAGAATATTTCTAAAATTGATCAAACATCATTCATTGTTTGATATCCAATAAACTTATGTATTTCTCTGCTTATCGTATATGCCTTAATAGTTTTTTGATGATATATGAAATATGCACTTAAGTTGCTGTACATACATATATAAAGCAAATCATCCAACTGTGAAAAATCTACTATTTTTAATTCATGTACATTACCCGTTGTTGTGAATGCTATAACTTATACTGTGGAACATGAATAAAATAATAGAAATAATCAAAGCTCAATTAAAATGACTGTGATTATCATCTTTATTACGAAGGTAGCTCTGCATATAAAATATATAAGTATACATATATTTAGATTTTTAATGATACTTCAATATATACTTCTGTTCTTGTTTTCTGTTTATGAAGTAACATTCAGTCATTGAATGCTATCAGAAATTATATGGGTTTTTTTTTACCCTTTACCCTCTTGAGAGATGGGTATGTTAAGTTAATTATAATGTTCGTATTGGTTTGAATCAAAACGGTTTGACAATATCCATTTGACAACGTAAACGAGTATGTATCATAGTTTTAATACTAAAAATGTTTATATAGTATATTACTTACAGAATTTTTAGTGAAATTGTTATCCCATTTTATTTTCCTTTTATAGATCTATAGCTGATATTTATTCTATGTATTTTGGGGCTATTAGCTAGCACTATGGCTTTATCAAATATATATTTGAGTTAATTACTTTGAGTTATTTGAGTCACTCATCACCCTGTAGAGCTTCCCGCATTGTCACATCCACTTACCCACATTTCTGTACCACAAATATGTAATATGTAACGGGGAAACATTTTCTAAAATAGAATAGTGAAAGGGTTTTTTAACCCTACATACCAATGTCTTAACGTTTTCAAGATCGTAATTTTGTAGTTATTAGGTTTAAAGTAACAAGTCTCATAAACACAGGCGAAAACCTATTATAGCAAGCTTAAACATTTATTTGTTAATCAGAAAATCAGAAAATCAGAAAATTAATGTGTGCTAAAACTGCAGCTGTATATCTCATACTGTCACTAAAACACATAAACCTAAGCTCAGTTGACTTATGACTTCATGTATAAATACTGACCAATTCAGTTTAGGAACAGTTCAGTATGGATTAATTATCTTTTCTCATTATCCTTTCTCACATCCTCTTCAATTTTTAATTTTTTTTCTACTGGATCCCAAAACCATCCATCATTTATTATCATTCTATTCCTCATTTAAATGTTTTTTGTTGAACTTTTAAAATCTGTGAGATGCCTCTCTTGATTGCTACTACCGCAATAAAATAATATAAGCATAATCTGTAAGATTTTATATATGCTGCAGAATTAAATTTTACTTGAATGTCAAAATATTTATTAATAGGTAGTAGTGCAAATGTTAGATTATTGGAAATAGTATATTGAATATAACACCAACATTAGAAAATATACTATAAGTTGCAGTTAAATTTAAATAAATATTCCGGAAATAATACTTGGCAATACTTCTTTTCAGATAATTCCTATTATTAGGCGTGTGCATATATTTACGCATTAAGTTTTTGAATAGATGATAGTAATATAGTTACAAACGCTATCACAACGTTATCACTTACATTTTTAATTTTACAGTTAATCCGCTGTTTTATTTTTATTGTTTCTTCCAAATCTGTTACAACTAATGCCAAGACCAATACATTAACAGTATGCGCCCTCAAATAATTACCAACTATGTATTAATGGCTTTTTCATGATAGAGAGGAGAGGTCTTGTTAATCTAAAAATTGGTGTTTTTCAAAATAAAATTTATTCATATTTTTATTGTATTTAATAAATTTTTAAAATTTCGAAACAAATAAAAATACTTTTTTTTTTATTGTTCTGCGGTTATTTAAAATATTATTTATTATTATTTATTTGTAAATAACTTTCGAACAAAAGAAATTTTGTGCTGTGTATAGTATTTTAGTATTTCTTTTAAACTAAGCTACAGTATGCTCTAGTATAATCAATCAAAATAGTTTTAAGGAATCACGAACTACGAATATCATATAGGATGAAGAGGGTGATTAAGCAAGAAAAGAAAACATATATTAGAACTGTAAAAGAAACACACGGAACGAAGCAGACCTGGCAAGATTCTTAGTTTTTAAGATTCTTGGTTTTATTTTTAGAAAATAGAAATGGCGTTCAAAATGAATACGTTTTGAATACGTTCCCGCACTCGTTGATCTGTCCAATTCTACAGTAAATAAATGATATATAAAAATAAATGAAGCAAATGTGACGAAGTGGCTAATGTCTCTCGTTTTTGCTATTTTTTAGCTCGGTAATTTCTCATTTAGTTTTTGCTTAGGTTTTTTTTGAAAACTTTTCCGACCATCGTTGTGCTATAAATTTTTCTAGTATCCCTGACATAATCAGTGCGGTATAGATCTATATAGATTTCGCTGTATTTACATATATAGTAACTTCTGGTATAAGTTATTTATTTGACTGAATAAAGTATATTGTAAATAATTTGTTTTAAGAGATTTAAAATATAAATTTTATGCAAATTATCTAACTTTATGTCCACTTTTATTCTGTAATAAGTTTATCTAACGCATAACTTTAACAAAGCAGTAATTTTGTTTTCAAACGATCATAGATACATTTTTAAAATAAATATACTTCAAGTTTTGTGAAAACAAATATATCATCACTTTTCTTTTTTGATGTATGTATATATTTTTAGAAAAATATTCTAATTTTCTGAATTTATTTTTTATTTTTTAGAATTTGTCATCTACATTTTGTGGCGCACAACGATTTGAGAAGTGAGCGACCGACCAGCACTCATTTTAGAAAAGTGAGCAAAGTAAACGGGAAAGTTTAATAAGTGCACGGTATATATACATTAATATATTGTAAATTTAATTCTATATTATAGTAATAAATGTTTTCAACTGCGTTTAGGATATATATTTGCTTATTGACTAAGCGTTTATTATAAATCCAGCAAAATTCTACCTTTTGGCAATTTTAAACTTCAACCTCCACCACCACCTGCAGCCCAACATATGCATAAAATGGCTGCGCCAACTGGAGCAGCTCCTACAGCGGCACTAGAAGCCCCTCTGTCTGCACCAAAGTACGGAACTTTGATTCCGAATCGTATTTTTGTTGGTGGCATCAGGTAAGTTGGGCAAAGTTAAAGTTAATCATAAATACTAAGAGCCGATTAGTACGAAATTTTTAGTTGAAAGTACAAATTCCTTATCATAACTGCCACGGTACGTTTTAGGATCTCAAAAGCTATGAGTGAGTTCGAGGTGATCAGATTTCGTAGTGAAAACTTTTGTTATAGTATATTTTAACGTTTAATTTAATCGAATACCATCACTGCTTGGAATCGGATGAGACTTCTAGTCATATTTCTATGTAACTTAGCCCAAACTAAGCAGTAAGGATCGAATACTTAAGGGCCTATCTGATATGAGGAACTCTTCGAAAGGGTGAAATTGTTGTATTTGGTTAATATTAGTTGTGATTATAAAAGATTCACTATGGTTACAGTGCTCATCTCTATTACGATTCCATAATACCGTAATTTTCTATTTTACTCTATTCTAGTATTTTAATTTGATTGAGGCAATGAATTAGAATAAATAGGAATAAATAAGGAAACCTATTTATTAAAAAGTTTACTGCAAATTTTAATATAAACTAATTATAAACTAATTTTTTTAAGTGGTGATACTACGGAATCAGATCTGTGTCGCGTATTTTCTGCTTATGGCAATGTCAAGTCTACAAAAATAATTGTCGATCGTGCTGGTGTTAGTAAGGGTTATGGATTCGTCACTTTCGAAACGGAACAGGAAGCGCAACGGCTGCAAACTGATGTAAGTCTGAAAGTAATTGTAGCTTTGAATTTTACCATGTCACTGCAACAAATAAAAAAATATATACAGAATATAGCGAATTATTTAAAGACGTATTATTTAATAAAAAAAAGATTAGTATATAAAATGAATAAAGCTTTAAAGCAAACTGAGATAGATATATTCTTTGTTCAAAGTGTTTATTGTAAAATAAATAATTTTTAACTTCTCCATTTGATTTGATGATAAACTTATATTTTTATATCCTTTAGGAAAATTTCATATTAAAAAACTTGAAATGACAATACACATTCGACTGATAAGCGATTAAAATAAGTGATATATCAGGATTGATATCGGTATTAAAATATATTACTATACATACCGTTAATGCAATTGGTGATGCTACCGACGTTATACTAAGAGTATGATATCACGAAAGAAATGCTAATCTATTTCACCAAAATAAACTATAGAACAATTTTTAACGTCTCACGAAGAAGATGAGCATAAATGATCTGTTATCAGCTGCGAGTTATATTGTTTGATACTACAAGTAACGTATCATTACTACTCCCATCACTACCATCAATACTACTACAAGTATCTAAATTCCTCTCATACATGATCGCTGCTGGTTCAGTCGACATGTCGATGATCCCATCCAAACCGATCAGTCAAACATCAAATTCAGGGAAGATTTTCTATCTTTTTAAAAGAGAACATTAATCAGTTTTGTTCGTTGAGTTAACTATCTTTCTTTCTAATTCTATACTTCATTACTTAACTTTGAAATTAATTCAATAATCAGCAAAATTTCATTACTTTTATATTCTTAAGTAAAAATAAAAGAACGAAGAGTCGTTTTGTTTTTCGTTATATTGTTAAAGTGTTTAGCAAAAATTGTGTTAAAAATTGTATCTTACACTGTTTACATTGTTTGATTTAAATTTAATATTACATATATTGATTTTCTTAATTAAAACTTTGTTTAACATTTGAATTTAATCCAAATTGTTGGTTCGTTGGTTCGTTGGTTGGTTGGTTCGTTCGTTCGTTACGTATTTCATCTGTTTACCACTTAAAGAAAATGTTTATATTTATTTTACTTAATTGTTTTAATTACTATTTAATTAATTAAATAATTAAAGAGTTTCATAACAGTTTATACGCACTATTTCAGTTTCCGCTACTTTTTAATTATATGCGTTAATTTATAGCTATGTTACTTTGTAATAAAATAACTTTTAAACTAAATTTTTGTCATTATTATGTTGTTTCAATAAATAAAGTTAGCTAATTAATTAAAACAAATGAATAAAACAATATTTCGCAATTACGAATCGCAAATCTATACAGGAACATAAGTTCAAAAACAAATTATTTGAACGGTTCTATGTGTAGGATAGTTCATTAAAATTGCTGTCATATTAATAAATAGTTTTAAATAGTTTAATTTTCAAAACATTATTTCTAAAGGGTCTGAAAAAGCCTACCTACAATAGCTTAAAAATTTCTAATTTATATACATATATTACATATATATATAGACCATATTAAGATTATTACATTAGTTTAGGTATTTGTTTTTATTTAAATGATTGATTATTTAAACAAGGCGCGTTTTGAATATATTTAAAATGAATAGCGTGGGCTATACAATATTAGAATTTTTTTTTATTACGTTTAAAAAGTCGAGCCCTTTTAAGACCGAGAAGTAATTATCAACACCAAATAATATTGTAAATATTTTATATATTTTTTTTTGCATAATAATTAAATTACAAATATTTTGCAATTTAACTATACAATACTAAAAATTTGGCACATTTAGCCATTTGTATAAATGTTTACACAGCCTTTACATAGAAATGTTTAATATATATATTCTCTAAACTACTTTACGTTTAGAGTTGTTTTTAAAAGTATCTAAATATAAATTAAACTAAATAATAATATTTTCTTGAATTCTAGTAAGTTATCATAACTATTTTAAAGTGCATCCATTACCTTGCTTTGTTATCCGATGCAGGAGCGTTTTTAGTTTAGAATATTTTTTCAATCGAGTCGTCGTTCTGTTGTATATCCTTTTTCGTGAATTTGGCTTTCATTATTTTTTTTTGGAGATAAGAGCAAACCCCTATCGTTAGTGTTGCAATCACAACCGCAACCTCCTACTTATTTTTCACTTTTTTATCTTAATTTATGCCCTAGTTGCTACTTGTTGTGTTGCGTTGGCTGTGTTGGTGTCCTTACTTAAAAATGAAAAAAAAATTTATAAAAAATTGTGTAAAAATAATAGGTGAAACCAGCAAAAGTTTTACAAAGTTTTAATTACGAAAAGTATTTTTTGTTGAATGACTTTTACTTAATTACTTTAATTTTAATTTTCATCTAATTTCTATTTACTTCAATTATAAAAATTTTAAAATAATTTGCCTTTTCTTTGCCAAATTTTTTTTTATAATATTTTTAACGCTATTATCCAAAACAGATTTATTTCTTTATTTTAACATATATCATTTATCTCTGTAATAAGCTATGCCTAATATACATTGTTCCACACTTCCTTCTACAATCATAAGACATGAACAATCATTATTTACTTCCATATACAAACATATACGGATGTCATTTGCTGTAGCCATTTACGGAAACTGTTCGTGGTTATTAATATTATATAGATTTTTATATGTATGTGTAATCCTTTGAGTCCTTTGAAATTGAAATTTCTATGAAATGATATAATTTTTAATTTTAATTTGAAAATAATTATTTTTTTGCGAAAGAAATTGCCGACCATTGCATTTGTTGCATTTGTTCAACTTTATGAGTTTATAAGCGCGTTATCTGAAGTTACTAATTTTACTATTGTTGCTATATAAACAAATTGTCAATTTGAAGTTTTTAAAACATTCAATAAACACCATTAGTCATGAATTTATTTGATTCAATCTATTAATGTTAATCCTTTATATTGTCCTGAGTATAAATCCGTTCGCGCTTATAAATGTTAATTGAAATACTATGATTAATGGCATAAGAATTATTATAAAAAATACAATTGTTGTATTATAGCCAAATCATAATACTAGATTTATTGCAATTAATATGCAGTGTGTTTTCAATAATATGCAATGAGGTAATTCAATTAACCTAATTGGTCCATCAGACATAACTGGTTTGGGTTAGATGCAAATTATTTCTATATGAAATAAAGTCAAGGAAAGCAAAAAATATTTTCATACATTATGTTTATCATAGGTGAATAATTGATAATTATGACCTTAAGCAGGTTGCAAGAGTTGCCGGGCGTATGTTTTGGAACGCTTTATCTTTTTTAAACAATTACGTGCCATTCGCCCCTCCTAGTGAGCACTCAAAACGCAAATTTCCTTCATATGATACTATAACAACAATAAGCTTATAATAAATCAAATGTCCGGCGTTACCAGGTAGTTAATGGTATGTCTCTAATAATGACAAGAAATTAACTTAAATCTTTAAAGCGTAATATTTTACGCGATATTTTACAAATGGTGAAATTATCCCGAGGTATCCCGTTTTATAATTTCCTTCTAGTCACATATTATAATTTATATATTACATATATATAATCGTTCACTGTTCATCTGTCAATATTAAAAACTATAAAACAATATATATAATCTCTACTTACTCTTCCTTCTCTATTATTTTGATTAATTCACAACAAAACTGAACGACTTTTGCGCACATTTCTTTAATAGTTTTCGTTAAGTTTTTGTTAAATTGAACACTAATTTCTAATGCTTCGATTATAATTGTGTTATTAGAGAACATAAATTAATTAATGTGAAAAGTAAACTGATTTTCTAATTAGCAGCTGCAAATTCAATAGTTTGGTTTCAATTTGAAATAAAGTTGAGCTATTTTCACAATTGTTGTAGTGTCCTGTTAATCAGTTGTTAATATTCGCATTTAAATTGTTTGATTTATTATTTTTATTTAATATTAATTTTTTTTAATGTATATTTAACACATTCTAAAGCAGTTTTCCTGATTTGTTTCTAACGCGTATCTTTTTCTGCAATTTTGATTAAATGTTTTCATTTAAATCTGTATAAAAAATAAAGTATTATGATTTTAATATTGTTATTATTATTATTATTATTATTATTATATGATTAATTTTGACTTTCTATGACTTTCGTTTAATTGACTCAGTTTTTCTTTTCTTTTTTCGATACATTTCCGTTTTTGTTCACGTTCAAATTACTGTTTAAGGCGTTTTTTTAATTAAAAAAGTTCTGAAAAAACTGCTTTTTTATTTAGTATTTATTGTATATTGAATTACTTATTTTCTTATTTACTTATTACTTGGTTTTAATTAATATTGTTTAAGTTTTTTTTATATTATTCATTGTTTATTTAAAAATATATAGTTTAAGAAAAAGTTACACGAGTTTGTTTGTTATAAAAGCTATTTAGTTTAGCGTTATATTTTAAAATTAAATGAATTCGTTTTGGTAATGAACTGCCTTGAAATGTGTTACTTATTTAATAGCCATTAAATGCGATTTGAAGTTTATTTAATTTTTCTTTTTTTCTTTATGTTTATTTCAACTTGCTTACCTTGCAATTTCATATCCACAGGGGGAATGCGTAGTGCTAAGAGATCGCAAATTGAACATTGCACCAGCCATTAAGAAACAGGTAAGTTCGCCAATATATTTTATACCATCTATACCATCAAATGACATCAAACAGTGAGAGTGAGTGAGTGATTGTAATTTGTAATTTGTAATTTGTAATTTGTAATTTGTAATTTGTTAAAAATAATTAACATAACTGAATTCTAAAGTTTATAAGGCTATGCTGCCTGCTAAGCTTGTTGAAATGCATATATCCAATAAATTAATTTGATAAAAGTGGCAGCATAATGTATCGAGATTTCACTCGACAATTTCCGACTTTATTATTATTACAATATTGTGTAACATTTTATTAAAATTTATAAATTTACTTATTATTTATATTTATTTATATTCATAGTCTATCGTGGCAGCAAATGGTGCAGTTTATTATACAACAACTCCACCGGCTCCAATTAGTAATATGCCCATTGATCAGTTTGCAGCAGCAGTTTATCCGCCAGGTACTTAAATATTTTTATACTTAAGAGAATTAAAAAATTATGTATATAATAAAAGTATCTGATTTTGCAGCTGCTGGTGTGCCAACACTTTACCCACCTTCGATGCAATATCAACCATTCTACCAGTACTATAGCGTGCCAATGGTAAGAGTTTGTAAATTTCATTTACTATTTAACATCATATGAGTATTTATAGAAAAGTCCATACAATTTTAAAATCAAAAATGTATATAAAAAACAATCTAAATCAGTACTTTTTAAGTAAGAATCTAGTAAATTTTAAAACAAAAATAAAATCGTATTTCTTCTATAAATTAACCACTTTTCAAGTACAATAAAAATTTAAATAGAAAATGACAGTTCACTCACACAAAAATGCTCTTTCTTTATTCAGTTTTTGGGTATTAAAAAATTTAGTTTTTGCTTACATGAAAATTCATCTTTAAATTCGTTTGGGAACAAACCTATTATTTACTAAAGTAATAAAATCAGATATTAAAAATATATATATTGAAATATAAATAGAACTTATAAGTTTAAATAAATTCAATTTATTCACAATATTTTATACTACTCACCTTAATGAACAATATTACAAGAGACAATATTGTAAATGTTGTAAATATTTTTTGGTATACAGCTTTTGCATTTTGCAGCTTCTATGACACTCAACTCAACATTAAGCTGTGTTGGTCACATTAAATCAAAAACATTTTTTAGTTATAATATTGAAAAAAAAATTAAATTTTAAATGGAATCACAGCAGATATAAACATTTTAAATGTTAATGTTATTGGTATACATTATGTCCATTTACATACATATACATATATATACTATTAACTATGTACTATGTACTATGTTTATTTTACAGTACCAGTGATACTCATATTTTGTTAATTAGCAAATAAATATAATTATTTATATCTTTTTTTTTGATTTTTCATCGTTATTTATCTCTTATTTATTGTGAATCAATCAATATATAGAACGTGCCCACCATCTGGCCGCAGAACTACCAAGGTAACTAAACTATCGACGTTTTACATAGTAGAGTTGTGTATACATTCAACATTAATTAATAATATTAAATTTAACGACCATAATTCAACAAATCAGCAACTTTAATTTTTTTTTTTAATTATTTTTATAATTATTTGTACAAAATTAATTTTAAAGATAGCTATATGTTTATTTGAAAATCATATTTTTTGTTTAGTTAACCGTAAAACAAACAGCACATTTATTAATATATATATTATATGTATTATAATAATTTATATGAATTTTAAAATAATACTAAATTAAATTAATACTAAGTTTGTTGTAGATTTTTAAAATTAAAGTAAAATGTGTTTACGTGCTTTGTTGTAGGCATTTACCCGTGTTAATTTTGAGGATTTTATCAACAACTACAAGAACAACAGTAACTACAACTACAACAACAAATATAAAAACAACAATAATAACAATATTATGTTGCTATAACTTATATTTTAGGATTTGTAAAAAGACAAATACACATATTTATTAATTAATACAATATATACATATGCATATATAAATATAAATATATATAACACAAACACGTACATATACATATACATACACATATATGAATTGTTTTATAATTATAAATCATTGCGCAGCTACATGCACAAATTAAATAAAAGTAAATAAAAGTAAATAAAAAAAGTGTAAAAAGGCGCAGAACTCATGAAAAATATGTTATGAGAGCAAAAGACGACGAAAAACAATAATTTTTTTTTTAAAAAAAAATTCTCAAAGGGAACGCAAAGAGTAAAAGTTACATTATATTTTATATAGAAATAACGAACAACAACAAACAGCAAATAGAAAATAGAAAATAGCAAAATTTGATGAAATAAAATAAAATAAAATATAAGAAATAAGATGTAAAATGAGATGAGATGAAATGTTATTTTTGTGGGTTGATTTTGAATTACACCAAAGATGTTAAAAAAGAAAAGTGTGAAAATTTAGAAATTTCTAGAAACTAAAAATAAATTTTTTCTTATTTATAGAAACAATACAAAAACAATACAAAATTTAATTTTTGACTCACACATACAACCAATCATACATCATACATGCATTCATATATATTTTACTATAAATTGAATATTTCAAACAACAGTTATAAACGAAATAAAATCATACTAACGAAAGCTCCCACTCAATATTAACACATAAAAGCAAAATTATACAAAAATATAATTATAAACAATTATTGTGCAGAAAATTTTTATTTTCGTAAAGCCAGTGTTAGAAAATATTTTTAAATAATTTTAGATATATGTGTTTATTTTTCATGTAAATTAAAATTGTAAGTTATGCCAGGGTCCACTGTGACTAAGGCGAAAGAAAGTAAGTGTTTTCTCTCCCTTTTTAAGATGAGGCGTAGTTCTAAGAATAAAGATAAATAAAAAAACATGCGAATGGAGCACATAAAAATTATTGTTTATATAAATTAATAAACAAATAATATATATACATCGCTATATACACACACTTAAGTAAAATGACAAAAATAAAAATCAATAAATATTATGAAAAATATATACCGTAATATATATATATATATATATATATATATATATATATAAATGTATACAAATAAATTATATTTATATATAGTATAAGCATATATACACCGATTACATATATAAACGGAATATATGTAAAACATTAAAAACTATACTTAAAGACATGAAATTAAACTATTCAAATATAATTAATAATTATTCATGTACATGATATTTATCTTTATAAATATTAAAAAAACCCTATACATATATACATATATGATGTATATATCTATATATATATATACAAAATATACTACTTATATATACTTAAATAAATTAAGTTTAGATAAAAAAATAAAGCAAATGAATTGTTAAACGAATTAATAAAAATAGACAAAAAATACATATTATGCGTAAAACAGAGCATAAGGCAAAAATAAAAAATATTTATAAATTATTAACTAAGAATATAAAAATATACAAATTGAATATAAATTAATAAATGTAATATGAAATATAGTAAAATGTAATAAAATATTTATAAAAAAAACTCACGAAGTATATACAAATACGAAAGAAATAATAATTTATTTAGACTTTTAAGTAAGAAAAAAAAAAAAAATTAAATGAAAATAATTATGACTACACATTGCATAAAAAATTTATATATGTAATAAATAATTTAAACGAACACATAGTAAGCAATAAAAATATTGCAAATGTAAAAAAATTGATTTAAAACAAAGAATAGGGTAGTGAAATTTTTATAATACTTCTCTAGCACAACCACAACGATTTGACCTTATATTGAAGCCTAAAATAATACTTATACAATATATGTTCTTTCATAGGTTTTGAACAAAGTGCAATGCCAGCTTATTGTCCGGAAAACTCTGCGTTGCCATGTCAGTGGTATTCGCAATAATTATAAGGTAAATCATTTTTTTAAATTATTTATTACTTCCTTTTTTCATTATTTTTTATTTAATGCATTTTATTTATTGCAATTACAGTCTTCTGTGTTAATATAGACAATAAATATGTTCTTTACGTATTTTTTAATTTTTTGCATAAACGCTTTTTGTAAAAATTGCTGCGACAACAATCACACAATATGAATGTTCAATGCATGTATTTTTTTGTACTACGCACAATATATTGGGAAATGCTTCCACTGCGTCTAGCAGCGTTCACTATGGTAAACATTTAAAAAGAAGGGATAGTGCATTGCGACCCAAGCGATTTATTGTGCCCCTTAGTCAGATAAGAGTGTTTCTACAAGTCTATCTTTCCTAGTCTTGAATCCTTATCATTCATGAATACACTCCTAGGTATTTTTTTCACTTGTGCATCAGTGCCGGGCACTTCCCAAGCACATGGTATGCAGTTTCTTTCTCTTTTCTACAGTATCTGCGCTGCGTATCTGAGTTGGAGTGAATTACTAACTTCGATAAGTGATTGTTCAATTTACAGTAACCGGTCAATCCCGCAATAACTCTTAGGTTCTTTTTTGATTGTGCTATACAATCTTTGAAGCGCTTTAGATTGTAAGTCCCTAAAAGCATTTTATATTGTGATAGTATTGGTAGCCTTTCTCAATAGAGTTCTCAATAACTAGCTAATGACGACGAAATATAAAAGAAAAAAAGCTTTACTTGTATTCAACATAATTCTGTTAGTAACGCTAGCATCAGATGCAAGAGTTTTAGTTAGAATCAATATTTTTATCGATAAATTTTTGTTCTACTTGTCACAACTAGGTTTATTTTGTCTATGCTTATATCCATATTTGCTTATGTTCGTGAATAACCACATAACTACAATAATATCAGTTATTTAACTTCTCATTGAACTTAATCCTATCTTACACCAATATATCCTTACATTTCAACAATAATACGAACAAACAAAGTGAAACAAATATAAATAAACCAAAAAGGCAGATGACAAATAAATATGCCGCTAAAATATTCTTTGTCTGAAATGATTACTTTCATCTACTCCTGGACCTTTAATACGTGCCCCATTTTTAAGATAGTTCTAACTCGTATAGCGTTAATTAATATTCTAACGGGGCGAATGTTCCTTTATTACCATCGTTTACTACTGGTCCTGGGGTATATAATTGTTAATTTTTTGAGTAAACTGCGATTTTTTTTTCTTGGAACAGGTTAACATATAACTTTTATTGATTTCGCAATCAAGAATACTTTAATAGTTCTGTTTGAACCTAAAATGTTGTGAAAATTATAATTACAATAGGAAGTTCTAGGGTTTCTTTATTTATTAATTTTTTTTTTGTCATCTTATCATTTTACTTTTTATTTTTTTTTTCGTTTGTTTCACCTTATTGGGTTGTTACAAATATTTTTATTGTAATTTTTATTTTATCTAGCACATTATAAAATAATATTTATATGTTGATGAATAATTCTTTTGGTTCTTGTTTTATTTAAAAATGCAAATAGCTTTTTCAAAATCTATTTGGCTGTATTATTTTGGTTTCAATAATAGGATACCAGATAAAAATGATAATTATATATGTTAGAAAGACGATTTAAATTTTAAGATTGTACGCTTTTTAGTTGAAGAGTTATATAGATTTGTATAAATTTTTAACGATCTTTTACCATTGGAGTGTTGGCGGCGTAAAATTGGTGCAATACTTTTGGCTCTAAAAATAAAAAAGAAAAAACAAAAAAAATGGATTTACAAATTTTTGCCTTAACAGATGGAGATGATACGTGAAGAATCTTCTGTTTTCATATCTTCATTTAAATGAAGCAAAACATAAGGTTTCAACAATACCTGTTTAAGTAAAGCATATTGAAAATTAAACAACACAATATCTCTGTAGAATCAAACACACACACACACTCCAATGTGTTTCGTCAGTGATTGAAAATATAAAAATTTTTATAAATTAATTTTTTATATAAAAAAATATTTATTTATTGTTGATAAACATAAACATATAATGTATAATGTTAAAGATACTTGTTAACTAGTTAATTAGTTAATCGTAATTAAACAATTTATGCAAACAAAGACAACAAAAGCAAAGAAGTATGAAACGAATAAGTAAATAAAAGCAATAAATTAGCAAATGATATATATTGAAAAATATACACAACAATATCTCTAATGAATAAATATATTTACGTATATATAGGAAAAATTACCTTAAGAATCGATTGTATTTATTTATTTAAATAAGTGATTGTGCTCATTAAAAACTAAACTATTTTTTTGCCTAAAAGCAATTAAATAAACATTTTTACTTGCATACACACATGAGAAGTCAGAAATATAGCATTCATAATTTATGAGTAATTTAACAAATAGAGCTGGGAAATCGGCTGACCCGGCAGAATTGTGACTTATTTAGTTATTTAATTTATTCTCTTATTCTCTCTTGTCATTGAATTTTAAACACAAAATAATTTAATATTTATTAAATTTAAACCAAAATAATAAGTATAATTAATGAGTTAATATACATATACATATACATATACATAAATAATTATTATACATTATGTAATTATATTATTGTGGAAAATATTAGTGACATAAAATAATTAAATTCGTGATATTTTAATAAACAATAAAAATGTTACATCAATTTTTAAAATTTTAATACAATATAAAAAGCAATTTGTGAATTATATCACAGCAAAAATCTTAAGTAAAACATTGAGCAATAATTTTTCTACTCATTTTCCTCAAAATTTTAGATTATTACAATTTTGTTATTAAATTTGCTTTATTTAAAGATTTTAATAAACTCAACGTCAACTTTTTTCAATTTAAAGAAACAGAAACTTAAAAGCGCAACATTTCTGAACATAAACACAAACAAAAACACAAACAGATCAAATATATAACAAATAGACAAACATTTTTTATTTATTACAAGAAACTTAATTAAACTTAATTAAACAAAGAACATGTTATCCTAAATTTTAAGATTACTTTAAGTACAACAGAACAATAATAACATTTATTATGAACATATGACAAATATATACTTAAATACTATATTAAAACTAATCTTAAAGAATATAAACAAATAAAATGCAAATTAAAAAAAAAAACGGAAAAAACCAAACATTTTTGTTTTGTTTCTTGTATTTTCAGTTACAAATTTTATTCTTTTTACCAAATTTTAAAAAAAGTATTTAATTAAGTCAATTTATATTGGATAATTTCTTATCAAGATATTTTGCTAAATACATAGTAGATAAATTCGCTTTGCCTGCATAAATAATATATTCAATCGGATTTAAAATAATAGTCAGTGTGTTCCAAAGACGTTTCCACGCTTTAAGATAGGGCGTGTTACACGGTCAGGCTTGACCATGTAAATATATAATCAATACACATACATCGATTTCCTTGCTGCTGACTCTATCGAAATGATATCGAAATTCTGTTTTACTTTCATTATATGTAATACATTTAAAAGGATATTTCTCAAGTGTTGTTGTTATCTTAAATAAATAGTGTTCAAATAATTGTTTTATTTGTATTTTTCTTTTCTAATATTCTTATTCTTTTCGAATAGAACGAATCATCAAGAAAATTTTCTTCAAGTTGACGGGGGTTAAAAAACCAAAAACGAAATCTATTGGCGAACAATGAACAATCACACACATATAGAAGCTCAAAATTAACTGAAACGAATTGAAAATGAAGCCAATGTAGAAACAGAAGGAATCGCTCAGATTGAACACTCTTTAATCCCCTATATAACTTGAAAACACTACATTTTTAAACCACATACACACATTGTTTCGATATTTTTGCATTTTTTTTGCATTCTACTTTTTACACTTTATTTACGTATTGCATGCCATATATTCCAATAGTTTTATAAGTTGTTTTCTCTCTCCCTTGCGAGGGTCCTAATATGCCTCTGAGGCATTTTTATATTTTGTATATGAAAAGCCTTTTAAATTTTAAACTAAAACTTCAGCACATCAGTAAACATACTGAATTAGTTATTTGTCATTTTAGAAATTGTTTAGAATTCCGTTTGATATACAAAATTAATTAGGAATTGGGTAATACAAACTTTTGGCTTATTTGGACAAATTCGTTCAAAATTGACTGACCTATTTTTGAATTTATATTTTACGATGCTGCTTTATTCAGCACGACCAAAAAGTGTTCAAATAGTGCCCCAATATATTTTTATATTATTTTAAGAATACAATATTTTAAAAATCAGCGTGTATATATAGTTTGTTTTTTTCAAGATTTAATTGAGTTCTCTTCAAAAAGTTTCCCGCAATGAGAAAATCAGACTAATTGTGGGACTAACTGAATTGGTGAATTAATTTATCTTGATCGAGATTGCTTTGTTTTGTCTCGCGCGAATAATGTGCCATTCCAGTTCCTACTTTAATTGATATTAAAAAAACACAAAAATAACCTTTAAAAATTTCACAAAATATGTGCAACATGCAATATGACTACATTTTCTGATGCAAGAATACCTACCAACTCCAAACTTCCACATAACAGTACGAACACCATACCATATCTACAAAAATATCTACACATATATAAAATGATAAGCCTGATTTCATTCAATAAAGTACGGAAACATAATTTTGTTGTTGTTTTTTTATGTCCAAATACAATAATCATATCTTTTTATTATTAGGTGACTTCTGTTTCAAAGGAAAGAAAAAATGCGAGAAAAGAAGTACATTCATATCGCGTATGAATTTTTTTTTGAAATACAATTCATATTAATTACGAAGTAATCCCCTTCACTTCAGTCACACACGCAAATCACACATGCTGGAGTGCTGATGTTCACAAAGAAACGAAAAAATAAAATATGCTTTACTAACAGTTTTAAAAAAATGGAAGAAGCTTAGGTTAGATAGAAGATAGATAGAAGGAATAGGTAGTATATTTTGTGATTGGATGTACACATTCAACATTATAAGTAGTGACGGTTAGAATGTATGTTATATGCATTCAAAATTCAAAAGTTACTCGCATGATTCCAACAATTTATACTGATCTTTAAATAATTTTATCATGTTCGTTATAAATTTCTAATAAGGATTTTCGTGGAACTGTAGTTTAGTTTTGTGCTTTGACTGAGAATGTGTAAATAAGTGAGAGTTTAATAATTATTTAACCTCTTGGTATAGGGGCTGTAAACATTGTACACTCTCCTAGAACAGAACTCCTAGTTTCGGTGTGTACTTGCCTATTTGGCGGATACCCGGTTCCTATATCTTTTTAAGTTAAAGCTAAGTTAATTCGTTTCCTTGTTTAAATGGGGGTTAATAGGCGAAAGAATAATTTCAAAAAACAATTTTATAGAAGAACGCTATATAATTAATATTTTAATACATGACAAGTAGTCAAATATATAACGCAGTTGTCGTCAGCTGATATCAAGGAAAGTATTCTGTAAAAGATTATAATATTGTTTAAAGAATATTCTACAAATGACTAGCAATATACAATAGATGCTTTCAATGAGCACAAATACTTAATATTTATTTTTTGAAATAATATTTTTTTTTGTACCAGGAGATAATTATTAAATTTATTTTCATATTTTGTAAAAATACTTCAACTCAAACATATAGATTTGAAACACTTGTATCACTATTCCAAATAAAAAATGAGTAGATTAATAAGCTAATAACCTATTCAGAGGGTAAAACATTACAAAAACAAAAAATATACACATAAAAATATAAATTAAACGGTTGTGTCAAATTAGTTATAATACAAGCATAAAGTGAACTCAAAGATATATAATTATATATAAATATATTATATTTTTAAAATCTATTTAAATGTATTCAATAAATAAATAAATGAAGAAGAGCATATACATATATATTAAAAGTAGTTTATTAAAAAATGATTCGAACGTGTCTAAATCCAAAAATTTTTCCCTTCTAACTTCATATAAAATTAAAAAAAAAATAAAAAATAAAATATAAACAAAAGACAAAGTATATAAAATTATATCGACATTTAAAAAATAAATTGTAAAAGAAATTATAATAATATATATCTATATATATATATAATTAAACATATATAAAATATTTTATTCATATTCTCGGTGAAACGAAAACCTTTTTAATACAATAAATTTTAAGAAATCCAATATTAAAAATAACTTTTTTTTTTGAATTTTTCTATTGAACATGAAAAGAAAGTATTTTTAATTGTTATGCATAACGAAATATTATGTAATTATTATACAATATACACTTTATTTATAATAGTTCAAACAAAAAAAAAAAAAATTAAACATAAAATAAAAAATTCGTATAGTTAAGATAAAAAAGTATTTAAAACTGAACGGTTTTGAAGACGTCGGATAAAGTTTAGAGCATAAATACAATACATATTTTTAACTATTAATTACTTCGTATATTTTTTTTAAACAATTGAAGTTCCGTGGATTGTTGGTAAAATTAAGTACTCGTACAATATATGAATCAGTTAATAAAACGTACTTCTTAAAGGATATTTATATAATATGTACTTTTGTTTATAAGACGATGAGTTCTAACAACTAAACTCAGTAGTTATTGTTTATATTAAAAATAAATAATTTTGTTTACCTAAGATATTAAAGATAGCTACAAATTGTAGATGGCCATATAACACTTGTGAAGGTTTTTGTGTTTTTGAATAAGATACAATGAAAAAAATCCAAGCACTAACTAACGAAAAAAATTTGAAAAGAAAATGATATAAGGAAAAAGTTTTAAAATACAGCACTAAAAACCGAAAAAATAATTGTAGATAAAACTTTTATCTGCATAAACATTTTCTATGTTTGAAATTTTTATAAAATTCATTGTTCTGATTCGTCTTATTAAATACAAAAATTAATTAAATAATAAGTACAAGAAACAAGCAAAAGTTAGAGTGCCGGGTAACAGCACCAATACAAAGCGACAAAATTAAAAAGTGCTACTAACACCAATAATGGAAAAAAATTTGAAATTTAAACAATAATGGCAGTGTAAACAAAATTTAGTTTTAATTAAAATTCATTCGATACTCTGAATAAAATATGCATACATTCAATTCTCACTGTTAAAGTTATAAATAGTCATAAATTAATCTGTCGATTTTAAGACTGGTTCCAATTTTGATTACATGACCTTTTGTAACTCGTTCCTTTAAAAAGTTGGGACTTTAAAAAAAATTATGAGTCTGAAAATGTTGTATTCAGTAGTGCTTCTGAAGACATTTTTTTGAATATGGTAATGGCTTCGAAATCAATCGCCGTACTGCAATTAATAAATAATATCGTTTTATTGTTATAGCTTTGGAGTTTTTTACTCTCTTTCTTGATATCCTTTTTTGAATGGTATAATAATATGATTAGAAATGATTTTAGAGTAGAACTTCATTGTGACATCATACATATATATATATATATATATATATATATATATATATATATTGTAATTTGTAATATTGTAAAGTGAGCGTAGTTGTATTTAGAAAAATCCGTACGATATCGAAGTAGTAAACGTAGAATTGTTTTAGGATTTAAAATGGTATAGAAACGGAAAACCTGAGATATATTTACAATGATTATAATTAAAAATATATATACGAGAGCAAATAAATAAAAAAATTTTTTTTTGTTTTGGAAAAATTAATGCAAATGTGATGAAGATTTATTTTTCATTTTTTAATACAAATAACGAAAAATTATAAAAACAATTTTGTGTATCGAAATAATAGTTAAGAATCAAACAAATAATTAGTTACTTCTATATTCTTATAATAACTTCATTTATACATATATGTGTATTATTTCAAAGAAAAATAGCAATAATTATTATATTAAAAAATAAGAAATATTAATAATTCAACAAAAAAAAAAAAAAATACATATATATATTAATATAAGAAAATAAATCGTATTAACAATAAATTGTGCAACGAAAATATATGCAAAATGTAGCATGAGAAAAATTAAAAGTATATTAAATATATTAAATATGAAATTAAAAGATATATAAAATAAAAAGTAATCTAATAAAAGAGGAGCTATACATATGTATATATAATATATATATATATAGTTGTATACTTAGACTCAGAAAAGTTGTAAGTAAAAGTGAACTCAATTATTGTTTTGTTATCTGTTATTGGAAGGCATCTATGTGACTGAGTACAAACAATGTTTTAGTAGATACTTAAGTAGAAACTTTGCAAAGCACGTCAAATTTGAATGAATTCATTTAAATATTCTAATTGATATTCGGATTAATTTGAAAGGAGTATCTTCTCTTATCTCGACTTGAAGAATATGGAAGATATGTTTTCTAAACGAATATACACATAAGTGAAATAACTAAACCTAAATTCCATATGTTTTAGTTTTATTGTTGAGAAAAACAATCGGACTTTGTTTAAACTCTAAATTAATATATTTTGCATCAAAAACATAGTGCAATTATAAGGAATATATCTTCAATGCTAATGCTAATAGTTTTTAAGATGCTATAAGGCAAATCTATACTATAACTATACTAAATACAAGAAACAAACATAAGGTTATACCGATGATCCCTGGTGGATCCACTTAGGCCTATTGACCCACTGTGTTAAACAAACACTAAAGAATGTTAATCTTCTGTCTAAAATTTGTCTTGTCACTGTGACACTATTCTAATCTATATTCAAATATTTAAATTAATTCAAAACTTTTTAAAAAAATGCTTAGCATCCAAGAATAGGCCTAAAATCATAACGACGCTGGAACTGAAGCTTAAACGGAAGCTGAAAGTAGGGCTTAAGTATAATTTAAAACTAAATCTGAAACGTTAGCTAAACAAGTCGTTGTTGTTGTCCATATCTTTGTTCTTTCTAAACCTAGTTCTTTCTAGTTAAATACGTTTTAGAAACTAATTTTAGCCTTTTTTTGATTTCCTATAAAACGGCGTTTTGTTTCCTAGGCTAATTGCTTCTTTAATTGTGTCTCTGATCTTCGCCTACTAGTATAGTTCATCATTTTTGCAATGCTCACTTATAAGAAAAATACTTATATATTAGAAATTATATTAAAAAATCGGAGCCAAGGATTTCAAGCTTAGTTAATTATTGAAAAATTCTATCTTCCCGTTTCATATTATATTTTATTACAAACTTTTGCTAGCTCGATTTTTCTTAACGGAAAACAACACTATCTTCGCTAATGAAAAATTTAAACACTAATCTTTGTAGATTTGAAACTTTTTTTGGATTTAAGCATTCATACATTCATACTCACTCATCACTCGAAACCTGATTCATTTGCTTGCTTGCAAAACTGATACCTCGTTTACTACGTTTATACGTGTAACACAAGCAACAACTATTACAATCAGTTAGAAGGAGAAAGAAAATATTCGATTAGCAAATTAATTATATAACATACCACATGTAAATTGGCCTTAGTAAAAATATTTTGAAAATCATTCGGTTTTCAGTTTGCATACCAACATAGCTCTTAGCTCGTAGCTCGTAGCTTGTGAATGCATTCACGAATGCTTACATCTGATTCATTTTAAATTCTTAACGTGTTTGTACTCAAGGATTTTAGAAATTAAAATTTA